CTTCCTGAACAGAACACCAACAGCACAGGCTCTAAGATCAACAATCAATAAATGGGACCTCATGAAACTGAAAAGCTCTGTAAAGCAAAGGACACTATTGTCAAAACAAAACAACAACCTACACACTGGGAAAGGATCTTCACCAACCCTTTATCTGATAGAGGGCTAATATCCAGAATATGTAAAGAACTCAAGAAGTTAAACACCAAGAAACCAAATAATCCAATTAAAAATTGGGCTACAGAGCTAAACAGAGAATTCTCAATAGAGGAATAGCGAATGGCAGAGAAACACTTAAAGAAATGCTCAACATCCTTAGGCATCAGGGAAATGCAAATCAAAATAACCCTGAGATTTCACCTCACACCCATCAGACTGGCTAAGATTAAAAACTCAAGTGAGAACACATGCTGGAGAGGATGTAGAGAAAGGGGAACCTTCCTCCACTGCTGGTAGGAATGTAACCTTGTACAACCAATTTGGTACTTTCTCAGACAATTAGGAATAGTGCTACCTCAAGATCCATCTGTACCACTCCTGGGCATATATCCAAAATATGCTCAAGTATACAACAAGGACATTTGCTCAACACCCTGTTCATAGCAGCTTTATTCTCAATAGCCAGAAGCTGGAAACAACCCAGATGTCCCTCAACCGAGGAATGGATACATAAATTGTAGTACTTTTACACAATGGAATACTACTCAGCTATTAAAAACAAGGAAATCATGAAATTTGCAGGCAAATGGTAGGAACTAGAAAAGATCATCCTGAGTGAGGCAACCGAGAAGCAGAAAGACACACTTGGGATATACTCACTCCTAAGTGGCTATTAGCCAGTAATATAGGATAATCATACTAAAATCTCTACATCTAAAGAAGCTGAACAACAAATAGGGAAGATGCTCAATCCTCATTCAGAAGGACAAACACAACAGACATCAGAAGCAGGAGAAGACAGAGATCAGGACAGGAGCCTTCCACAGAGGGCCTCTGAAAGACTCTGCTGATTGAGGTATTGAAGCAGAGGCTGAGACTCATAGCCAAACTTTGGGCAGGGTACAGGGAATCTTAGGAATGAAAGGGGAGATGTAAAGACCTGGAGGGTTCAGGAGCTCCAAAAGGAGACCAATAGAGATATAAAGCCTGAGCCCTGGGGCCCCTGAAGAGAATGATAACCCAACCAAGGACAGCGCGTAGACTTGAGTTTCTAAATGCTGTTGGTACTGCCTATAGGGATGTCTTCCCAGTACATCGAGCACAGACATTAATGCCTGAGAACTTTTCCTTCTGTTGATACTGCTTTAATTTCTTGACAGTGTTCATATATGTGTATAGTGTACTTAACCATGTCATACCTCCTCCTTTCCTAGCTCTCTCACTCTCCCAAATCCCTTTCCCCCAGACAGCTTTCCTCATCTGCTGGGGTTTCTTGTGTGAGGACGAATGTGGACCTATTTACTGGAACATGGACAGCTAACCCCTGAAGGAAAGTGACTCCCCTGCCCTGGGGCCTTCACTGCCCAGGGCCCCTCAGGGGGAGAGGAGCCTCCGGAGTCCCTCTCTCATCCACGATGGAGCAGTGATGGCCCAGGCTTGGGAGGGTGGCCACAACTGCTGAGTCGCTGCTGTACTTCAGAGCTGTGTTTCACATCCCCGTCTTCCTGCCTTTATAGTCCTCGTGCTATCTCTTCTCTCATGTTCCCTGGGCCTAGGAGAATCTCCAAGAGCCCTGTTTAGGGCTGAGCACTCGGTTGTTCCTTGCTCTTAACACCTGAACGTATGTAATGTTTCTGCATCATACATACGCAAAGAAGAGAGAGAGTAAAAAGAAGCTTCTCTGACTGAGGCTGGGGGCAACAGGAATCTCAGGGGCGGGCTGATCACAGGGAGTGTGATGCCAGGGCTCTTTCGTACTTTGCAATTACACAGTGTTTTTAGAGGGTTTTTGTTTTTAATGTTTGTTGTATGCAGGCTTCCATATACAAAGTAGATGACCTATGCTCTCAAAAGAGACAGTGAACCTGCGCCGCACCCCACTTTCCTGACTAAGAGAATAAGCGTTAGAAGAACTTCTCAGTGGCCGCAGACTTCTGCTAGTAATACTGCACCCCGTTTTTCCAGTTGCCAGGCTCAAGCCTGGAAGTCATTGATGTTTAGGTAGTGTAATTTCTTAATTATGGTGAAGTTATGTGGCCATCGGCCATGTGTTTTGGAGTTATTAACCACATTTAACAATAACAAACAAGAATACTTAATTCTAATTATATAATTTGTAAGCTCTACATATTAAGGCATTTGTAAATGCTTTTTCTGTATGCCTTATCTAAGTATAGACCTGTGTCCCTTAATGACAGGTTAGGTCTAGGAAAGGCACCTGTTAGATGGTTTCACCCTGTGAACCTTAGAGTAGGCTTACACAAATTTGCCTGTTGCAGCAGCACGTTTTATTGTATAAAATAATGTAGTTAATTGTAAGACAGTGGTGTTTGTGTATCTAAGGAGAAAAATGTGGCATCAAAGTTATCAGTGGCATGCTTGTCTGGCGTGTGCCACTGTGGTCTTGCAGGCTCCGAGCCCCTGAGTGAATGGGAGGGCCCAGCAGGCTGTACTGGCGTGGCCTCTGGACACAGTGTACACAGTGAGTGCTAGGTGAGTGTGAACAGGCTGTTCCACTGCCATGAGCTTTGTGGATCCTGTCTGTCCCAGGGGAGTGCTGAGTGTGAAGCTCAGGACGACTGTAGGCTTTGTACACACTGTGTATTTAAGGTCATATGATTTACTTTGTTTTTTTTTTTTTTAACAGTCACTTTGTAGCCCTAACTGGCTTAGTGCTGCTATAAAGATCAGGATGGCCTTGAACTTTTTCTGCCTCTGCCTCCCATCTGCTGGAATTACAAATGTATGCCCCAGAGCCTGGCTATGCTACATTAGATCTATGTTGTTTTTTTTTTTTTCCTTCAAAAATTTTTTTTAAAGGGGGAGGGGTATTGAGACGATCTCATTACATAGTTCAGGCTGGCCTTGAACTTGTGATCCTTCTGCTTCAGCTTTCAAAATCCTGGGATTACAGGTGTGTTTTGCCACATTGGGATCTTGATAAATTCTTTAACTTGGATTCTTGTAAAAACAGCTGGCTTAAAACAGTTTACAACTGTACAAAATATTTTCTTCTATTATATAAACTTAATTTAAAAATGACTTAAACTTCGGTTAAAAAGACATACATGTGCCCACAGGCACACAGACATAAATGAACATACACCTCTATCAGTCTAGGCTAAGTCAGGATCATCCCACTAGAAGGTCTGCAGAGGCAGGTCCAGGATGCAGAGCTGCCCTCTCCACACGCCCCCCCCCCCCCCCCCCACACACACACACACTGGAAGGCCTGCAGAGGCAGGTCCAGCACACAATCCCCTCCATGCTTTCTTTCTGGAATCTATCATGAGATTGTTTACAATTAGCTACTTTTTTTCCCCTTTGGCAAAGGTGCATAGGGCAGTACTTTAAGATAATTTTAAAAGGGTTTAGTCAGCGTGGAAGGCAGCAACTTAGTTTCTGCTTTGCCTTTCATCCATGGCAGCTAAAAGCTGTGGGATTTATCTTTTGTTGTTTTTTGTTTTCTGTGGGACGGTGTAAAGATGCTTAAAGACCCTGATGGCCAGAGGACATCAATATGGCGGAAGACTGGCTTTTATAATTACATTAGGAAAAGAACGACCAGCTGACATATTTGAAACAGTGTTTTACTAGAGTATGGATGGGGGAAGACCTCAAAAAGCTACATGCACAGCATAATTAGAAACTGGATGCGCGCCCTGTAGATGTAGTGCAGAGTAGTCCTGTGGGCATGACTGTATGACCGCAGTTTTCTAAGTCTGGTCAGAGTCACTCACTCACGAAATAGTACTGCTTTTGTGTTTTTGTGACTGTCACGAGGTGCGGTGAAATGCAGTGTACTTTTATTAACAAAGCAAGTTTCTTACTTAAGTTTTATTCTTGGGAGGATGTGTTTCCTTTTATGAAATGCCTTTTAAGCTATGCCTCTATCTTATTTTATTAAATTATTCTTAAGGTGTCTATTTAACTATTAACTGGAATTGTTTCATAATTTGAAAATCTGACACTCTAAATGAAAGCATGTCAAGGCTGAGGGAAAATCCACTAATTTCAGCCAAACACGGTTCTTCAAGTAAAAAAGCCTATTCATACAAAATTTTTGTAATGGCTGGGATAATTGGTTTATTACACATATTAATTATTCTTGAATGTACAAGCTCCAGAGGAGCAATTGGGTCTTTACACACACGTTTTTTCATCAAATTGCATTTTTACCCTTATATCCAAATGAATTAAGCAGTTAATGTAAGAAAAATAAGAACAATTAGTGATGTCTCAATTGAGAAACCATCAATAAAGAATGTGGAGAGAAAGACTGAAAGGAGGTTGAAGAGTCATGGAGGTACAAAGGACTTTGGAACAAAGCCTGTCTATTTTGTTGCCCAGTTAGACTTTGAAACACAGGAGCTGTGTGGGCCTTACGCTGCCTGGCTGTAATGCGCATCTCAGTTCTAGGTCACTAGGACCGAGTACAGACACTTTCATGTTCTTCACCTAGCTTTTCGTAACTTTAAACATTTTTGATGACATCCACTTAAAAACAATCTCACAGTTTCCTACCGGTGGGTGGAGCTTTAGCCCTTCGAAGCAGTGTGTACCACCACGCTCTCACCCGTGGCTACCCAGACTTAAGTCAGTAAGGAAAAGGTTTGGTCTCACATCTAGGTTATGCCTGGAAAGCACTCCTCAGCTAGGAGACAGTGTTGGCACAGCAGCACAGGGTTTCTGGTGCGTCCTACCTGCGGCGGGAAGAACGGGCACACACCAGGAAGAAGGAAGCGGCCATCGAGGCTTCGTAGGAAACAGTCAAATGGGAATCAGGACTTTCTCAGAGCGCTCCTAGCTTTATTTGTGGAGGGAGTCCAAACGCTCTCTAGTTACATGGCATACTTCTGCGTCCACTCCCGAGCTGTTCTGTTGTACGCTTCTCTATCTGTTTTGTAGATCTGAGCAATCTCAGGCACTAAGGGGTCATCTGGGTTGGGGTCACACAACAGAGAACTGATGGACAAAAGTACTTTTGAAATAGTTAGTGCTGGAGACCACTGTGACCGAAGAATATCAAGACAAATGCTGCCGTTACTGTTGACATTGGGATGATAAATTCTTGTTGTGAATTCAACCTTGGGTGGTTTGAAGGGGTACTCTGTTGGGAAATCGATTGTCAAGAAAAATGCTCCGCCTTGGTAGGGGCTGTCGTTCGGCCCCATGATTGTAGCTTGCCAGTGGAACATGTCTTCCCCGACAGGGCCTGCGGAGCACTGTGCTGGCGGGTCCCGCGCCAGGTCGTTGAGTTCCTTGTGGATTCTCTTCAGAGCCATGGTGGAAGGCTGGCTTTGAGGGCCGGAGGCCGGCTTGTTGGTTCGGGCTCAGCGCAGCAGAGCAGGAGGGCGGCTCCGGCCTGCCCTGGCGGGGTGCGCTGGGCGCCGAGGCCCGCTTAGCTTCGGCCAGCCACCGTGGAGCCGCCGCCTTCACCTCGGTCGGCGCATCGCGCGGCCGCCGCCCCTTCCTGTGCCGCCGCCTAGCGGTCTCTCCTTCCTTGGCCGCCTCGGATCCCTCCGCCGAAGCCTCTGCCCGGGCTCGAGCCAGACCGCCTGGCTGCCGCCGGCCACTGCACACCGACGCCGCCCGGCAGGGTGGCGGTGGATGGGGTGATGTGTCGGCAGCGTGGGCAGCCTTTTTGTTTTGTAACACCATCGCCACCAGCCGGGGCCGGACTGCGCTGTGATGCCGCCACGCCGTGTCTAGGTTACCAGCGCTTTACCTTTGGTTCACCTTGGACAAACCGTCAGCCACTGCTGCTCTCGGGGAAGAGGCTTGACCCAAGTGTTCCCCAAATAGTTCAGATTTCAGAAGGAACGGTTTTAGTTTTAGGTTGTTTGTTTTTTGAGATAGGGGTTCTCTGTGTATCCTTGGCTGTTCTGGACTAATTTTGTAGACCAGGCTGGCCTTGAAATCGGAGTGCTGGGATTACAAGCATGAGCCACCGTGCCCAGCTTTGTTTTTAATTTTTTAGGAAGAGGAATTTTAATTTTTTTTCATTTCAAAATTTTCAAGAAGAACATTTTAAACTTTTCTAGAATATACAGAAAACAAGAAAGCAGATGAATTTTTCCCATCTCTTTATAAAGTGTACCAAAAATAATCTTTGACAGTCATTCACATCATTTGAAACACATTTACAGTACTTTACAGAAAATTTACAGTAATAAAAGGCAGTTCTCCATATTCTCCGCAGGGCCAACTCCACACCTTCTTTTTCTCCTTTAGGAAACAAACTAGAATAAATAGCAGCAAAAACTAAAAAAGCACAAGAAACACGGTACAAAAACAAAACCGGTAATAACACAGAATTAGAAGCAAGCAAGACACAACAAGCAAACGACCAGTAAGATTGAAAAAAAAAAAAAAAAAAAAAAAAGCTCAAACAAAGCAGTAAGAGAGAGAAAAAAGTCTATGAAAACATCAAGTTAGTTTTGGATTGTCAGTCTGCTGCTGGGCCCAAGTGTGGTTTCTATACCCAGGGAGATGCCCCTGGACAGAAGGAGCTTGTCCTTTACAGGTGTTTGGTGTTTGTTGTGGGAAAGCGTCCCGGTTAGGGTGGGGGAGCGTGCTTGTAAAGGCCGCAGTCTCTGAATGCATCGGTCCTGCCGTGTCTAGGCGGCGTGTTTCGGTGTCTTCCGCCTTCTGTCGCTCTCACAGCCTTCCTTTCTCCTCTGCACAGCTCTGGCTGTGATGAAGGCATCTCACTTAGGATTGAGCGTTCCACAGCTGTGGGTCCGCGTCAGTTCCCACGAGCTGCAAGAGGGGTCCCCCGACAGTGGCGGGAGACGCTGGTCTGTGCGGCAGAAGGCTGTTAGGAGGCATTTGTTGCTGGGTTCCTTTAGCAGGGCAGCAGTGTCTGGCTTCCCAGTAGGCCGGTGGCTGTCGGGGTTGGGCTCCTGGCTGCCTGGTCAGGAGCTTCTACATACATGCAGCTTCCGTAGGACCTTTCAAATGGCCCTCACTCTTAGCTGTCTCTCATTTCCCTCCTGTACCCCACTCATCCTGTTCCTTTTAATCCTTTTGCTCCAGTCCCACCCCCACCTGACCCCAGAGCTCTCCATTACTGTATATTCTGGTTCTGTTTGGAGTACAGTTTGTGCAGGGCACTAAAGAAAGATCTTTTTGCTTTCTCCTCTCTACAGCCATACAGTTTGACCAGAACCACTGGGTGTTGGTAGGTGTGTGGATTATGCCTAGGTCTTCAGTTTGATTCCGTTGATGAGCTTGTCTTTTTACGCCAATACCGAGCTGTTTGTGTTACTGTCACTGGATTACAAGTAGAGATCTGGGATGCTGCTGCCCTCCGCAGGGGTGTGTGTGTGTGTGTGTGTGTGTGTGTGTGCGCGTGCGCGCGCGCGCGCGCGCGCGCGCTCATCCTCCCTACGAGGATGAAATTGTTTTTTCAATTTCTATGAAGGATTGTGTTGGCATTTTTATGGGATGGTATTGAATGTGTAGATCTCCTTTGGCTGTTCAGCCCTTTTCACTCTTATTACTCCTACTGATCAAGGAATGGTGGAGATCTCTCCACTGTCTGCTGTCGTCTTTGATTTCTTCCTTTAATGTCTTAAAGTTTTTGTTACACAAGGCTTCACTTTTGTGGTTAGAATATCACAGGGTATTTATTTATGTATTTATATTTTGAGGCTGTTGTGAAAGATACTCTTTCCCTGATTTCTTGCTCAGTCTGTTATTTGGGAAGGCTTCTGATTTTTGTGTGTTAATTTTCTGTCCTGCTAATTTGCTGAAAGTGTTTATCAGCTGTGTAGTTTTTTTTTTTTCTTTTGTCCTTTTTTTTTTTTTTTTTTTTTGAGTAGCCTTGACTGTCCTGGAACTAGCCAGGTAGACCAGGCTGGCCTTGAGTGATGGGATTAAAGGCATGCACCACTACCGCCTCCCATTTCCTGGTAGAGTTTTTAGCGTCATTTATATATAAAATTATCTCATCTGCAAATAAAAATATGCTGATTCTTCCTTTCCTGTTTGTGTCCCCTAGATTGCCTTCAGTTGTCTAATTGCTCCAGCAAAGGCCTTCAAGTACTGTATTGAATAAGTGTGGAGAGAGTGGACAGGCTTGTCTCGTTCCTGATTTTAGTGGAAATGCTTTTGAGTTTCTCTCCATTTAAGTCGTTGCTGACTGTGGCTTACTGTAAACTGCCTTTATTGTGTTGAAGTATTGTGTTGAAGGTATAGATCAGTTTATGTATCTACAAAATACCAGTCTGTTCTACCACTGACCTTATTCATTATCTTCATTTCAAATAAATATTTCAAATATCTTTTTCTTTTTGAGACAGGGTTTCTCTGTGTAGCCCTGGCTGTCCTGGAAGACCAAGACCTGTAGACCAGGCTGGCCTTGAACTCACAGAGATCCACCTGCCTCTGCCCCCCAGAGTGCTGGGCTTACATATGTGCACTGCACCCAGCTCTCAGTCTGTTTATGTGATGGATCACATTTATCGATTTGTATGTGTTAAACCATCCCTGCATCGCTGGGGTGAAGCCTGCTTGATAATGGTGTATGATCTTTTTGATGTGTTTTGGATTTGGTTTGCAAGTATTTTACTGAGAATTTTTGTGTTTATGTTCATAAGGAAAAGTGGTCTGTAATTCTCTTTGCTGGGTCTTTAGGTATCTGAGTAACTGGTCTCATAAAAATGATTGGGCAAGCTTCCTTCTGTTTTTATTTTGTGTAAAAATTTGAGGAGTATTGGGATTAACTCTTCTTTTTAAGTCTGGTAGAACTCTGCACTCTAACCATCTGGCCCTAGGCTTTTTTTGGGTGGTAGACTTTTTTTTTTTTTTTTTAAGATTTATTTTGGTTATGAGTGCTCTTTCTGCATGTGTACCTGCATGCCAGAAGAGGGCATCAGATCACATTATAGATGGTTGTGAGCTACCATGTGGGTGCTGGAAATTGAACCCACCTCTGGAAGAGTAGATAGTGCTTTTAACCTCTGAGCTATCTCTCCAGCATAGTTGGTAGACTTTTAATGACTTCTATTTCACTCTGGGATATAGGTCTGTTTAAATTGCTTATCTGATTTAACTTTGGTAGGTAATAAATATCAAGAAAATTACCCATTTCTTTTAGATTTTACAATTTCACGGCATTCAGATTTTTAAATTTAAAGTATGTACTTACATTTCTCTGGATTTCCTCATTGTCTATTGTTATGACCCTTTTGTCTTTAATTTTGTTAATTTGCATCTTTTCACCTTTTAGTTAATTTCACTAAAGGTTAGCTTAGTGATTTTTCTCATAGAACCAATTCTTCCTTTCAGTGAAACTTAGTATTTGTGTGTTTGTACCTGGACGACTTCAGCCTGACTTCCGTTAGTCCTTGCTGTCTACTCTTTTTGGGTGTTAGTTCTTCCTGTTGCAAAGCTTTCTAAGTTGCTAAGATGAGATCTTTCCAGTTTATTTAGGAAGGCACTTAGTGTTGTGACTGCCCTGATTACAGCTCATAGTTTTGTAAATGTGTTTTCATTTTTATTCAGTTGGAAAAGTTTTAAATTTCTTTCTTGATTTCTGTCTTGCCTCATTCTTTACTGGTGAGTTGTTAGTTGATGTCCAACTTTAAACAGTGGTAGTCTGATAGGAAGCAGAGTATTATTTCAGTTTTCTTCCATTTATTCAGATATGCTTTGTATTTAAGTATGTGGTTCAGTTTTGCAGGATGTTCCATGTGCTGCTGAGAAGAAAGCATACTTTTCGGAGTCTGGGCTAAAATGTTCTGAAAATATTTGTTAAGTACATTAAATTTATGATGCTATTAAACTCTTTAGTTTTTGTCTGGATGGCCTGTTGGCGAGAGTTGGGTATTGAAGTTTATGACACACTCATCAGTGTGTCAGGGTCAGTATGTGATTTTACCTGTAATAGTGTTTTTGTTTGTTTGTTTATAAACTTGGGAGTCCTTTTGTTCGATGTATACATGTTTAGAATCACAATATCCTCTTGGTAGGTTTTTCTTTGAGTATGTAGGTTCTTTCCTGTCTCTTCTGATTAATTTTGTTTTGAGGTCTTATTTTTGTCAGCTATGGAAATAACTATAAATCTGCTTACTTCTTGGGTCCATTTGCGTGGTGTATGTTTTTCCATCCTTTTTCCCTGAGGTAATGTCTCTCCTTGATGTAATGTGTGTTTATTGAATGAAGCAAGAAGAATGGCTTCTGATTTCTCACTCATCTTGTTAGGCTGTGTCTTCTGTTGGAGGAATTGAAACCGTTAATATTGAGGGTTATCATGAGTGGTGTTTATTAATCCTTGTTGTTAATGGTG